GGTGACAGCAGCAATGAACTTGCAAAAGACTGTCCAACTGTGCTTTGCCTTGATGCCACACTGGAAACTAAAACTGCTGATGACGATCTCTTGCTCTCTCCGCTAACAACAAAAGTCGACAATGACGCAACTGGCGATGGTGATACTGGCAACGAATATTCTAAAGATGCTCTCAATGTGCTCTCTTCGGATATCACATGGGACTCTAATGTTGCTAACAGGGAGCTGGTTCTTACTCTCCTATTACCCACAGTGGACGATGGCAAAAGCAATGAAGGTGACACCAACTCTGATCTCTCTGAGGACAGCTTGACTGTGCTTTGCTCTGATGGCAGACTGGACAGACGTGAGAGACTGGCAAGACTGGAGGCTACTATTGAAGATGACAATCTCTGGCTTTCTCTGCTCACACTCAAATTAGGCGAAAATGCTACCGATGAAGGTGATCCCAACATTGATCTTTCGGATAAAACTTCAAGTGTCGCTTCCTCCGAAGTCTCACTGGATACCACTATGGAGGATGGGGATACACTGATTGCACTGCTCACATAAAAAGTCGACGATTTTACTACCGAGGATGGCACTTCCAGCAATGACCCCTCTGAAGACGCCTTCACTGTACTCTCATCTGATGCCAAACTAAACACTATTACTGGTGATAACGATCTGCTTCTTTCCTTCCTAATACCATCAGTCGACAATACTGCAACCGATGATGGTGACAGCAGCAATGAACTTGCAAAAGACTGTCCAACTGTGCTTTGCCTTGATCCCACACTGGAAACTAAAACTGCTGATGACGATCTCTTGCTCTCTCTGCTAACAAAAAAAGTCGACAAGGACGCCACTGACGATGGTGATACTGGCAACGAGCTTTCTAAAGATGCTCTCAGTGTGCTTTCTTCTGATGCCACACTGGCATCTATAGTTGCTAACAGGGAGCTACTTCTTTCTCTCCTACTACCCAGAGTGGACGATGGCACAATCAATGAAAGTGACACGAACTCTGATCTCTCTGAAGACAGTTTGACTGTGCTGTACCCTGATGGCAGACTGGACAGACTGGAAGCTATTATTGAAGATGACAATATCTGGCTTTCTCTGCCCACACTAAAAATAGACAAAAATGCTAGCGATGAAGGTGATCCCAACACTGACCTTTCTGATGACACCTCAATTGTCCTTTGCTCCGATGTCTTACTGGATACCACCATGGAGGATGAGGATACACTGATTGAACTGCTCACATCAAAAGTCGACGATTTCACTAACAAGGATGACCCTTTCAGCAATGACTTCTCTGAAGATGCCTTCACTGTACTCTCATCCGATGGGAAACCTGACACTATTACCGGTGATAACGATCTGCTGCTTTTCATGTTAATACCATCAGTCGACAATACTGCAACCGATGATGGTGACAGCAGCAATGAACTTTCAAAAGACTGTCCAACTCTACTTTGCTTTGATGCCACACTGGAGACTATAACTGCTGATGACGATCTCTTCCTCTCTCTGCTAACAACAAAAGTCGACAATGACACAACTGGCGATGGTGGTACTGGCAATGAGCTTTTTAAAGATGTTCTCAGTGTGCTTTGTTCTGATGTCACACTGGACTCTATTGTTCCTAACAGGGAGCTCCTGCTTTCTTTACTAACACCCACAGTGGACGATCGCACAAGCAATGAAGGTGACACGAACTCTGATCTCTCTAAAGACAGTTCAACTGTGCTGTGCTCTGATTTCAGACTAGACAGACTGGAAGCTACTATTGAAGATGACCATCTTTGTCTTTCTCTGCTCACACTCAAAGTAGGTGGAAATGTTAGCAATAAAGGTGATACTAACACTGACCTTTCGGATGACACCTCAACTGTCCTTTGCTCCAATGTCTTACTGGATACAACTATGGAGGATGGGGATACACTGATTGCACTGCTCACATCAAAAGTCGACGATTTTACTACCGAGGATGGCCCTTCCAGCAATGACGTCTCTGAAGACGCCTTCGCTGTACTCTCGTCAGATGCCAAACTGGACACTACTGCCGGTGATAACAATCTGCTGCTTTCCCTGCTAATACCATCAGTCGACAATACTGCAACCGATGGTGGCGACAGCAGCAATGACCTTGCAGAAGACTGTCCAACTTTTGTTTGCTTTGATGCCACACTGGAGACTAAAGCTGCTGATGACGATCTCGTCCTCTCTCTGCTAACAACAAAAGTCGACAAGGACATAACTGACGATGGTGATACCGGCAATGAGCTTTCTAAAGATGATCTCAGTGTACTTTCCTCTGATGTCACACTGGAATCTATTGTTGCTAACGGAGAGATGCTGCTTTCTCTGCTACTAACCACAGAGGACGATGGCACAAGCAGTGAAGGTGACACGAACTCTGATCTCTCTGAAGACAGTTTGACTGTTCTGTGCCCTGATTGCCGACTGGAAGGACTGGAAGCTACTATTGAAGATAACGATCTCTGACTTTCTCTGCTCACACTTAAAGTAGGCAAAAATGTTAGCAATGAAGGTGATCCCAACACCGACCTTTCTGATGACACCTCAACTGTCCTTTGCTCCGAGGTCTCACTGGATACCACTATGGAGGATGGGGATACACTGATTGCACTGCTCACATCAAAAGTCGACGATTTCACTGCCGAGGATGACGCATGCAGCAATGACCTCTCTGAAGAGGCCTTCACTGTACTCTCATCCGATGCCAAACTGGACACTATTACTGGTGATAAGGATCTGCTGCTTTCCATGCTAATGCTATCAGTTGACAATACTGCAATTGATGATGGTGACAGCAGCAATGAACTTGCAAAAGACTGTTCAACTGTGCTTTGCTTCGATGCCCCGCTGGAGACTAAAGGTATTGTTGACGATCTCTTGCTCTCTCTGCTCACAACAAAAGTCGATAAGGACGCAACTGACGATGGTGATACTGTCAGCGAGCTTTCTAAAAATGCTCTCAGTGTGCTTTCTTCTGATGTCACACGGGACTCTATTGTTGCTAACAGGGAGCTGCTGCTTTGTCTGCTACTACCCATAAAGGGCGATGGCAGAAGCAATGAAGATGACATGAACTGTGATCTCTCTGAAGACAGTTTGACTGTGCTGTGCTCTGATGGCAGACGGGACAGACTGGAAGCTACTATTGAAGATGACGATCTCTGGCTTTCTCTGCTCACACTCAAAGTAGGAGAAAATGTTAGCGATGAGGGTGATCCTAACACTGACCTTTCTGATGACACCTCAACTGTCCTTTCCTCCGAAGTGTTACTGGATACCACTAAGGAAAATGGGGATACACTGATTGCACTGCTCACATCAAAAGTCGACAATTTCACTGCCGAGGATGGCACTTCCAGCAATGATCCCTCTAAAGACGCCTTTACTGTACTCTCATCCGATGCCAAACTAGACACTATTACTGGTGATAACGATTTCCTGCTTTCCTTGCTAATACCATCAGTCAACAATGCTGCAACCGATGATGGTGACAACAGCAATGACCTTGCTAAAGACTGTCCAACTGTGCTTTCCTTTGATATCAAACTGGAGACTAAAACTGCCAATGACGATTTCTCTGTGCTAACAACAAAAGTCGACAATGACGCAACTGACGATGGTGATACTGGCAACGAGCTTTCTAAAGATAATCTCAGTGTGCTTTTTTCTGATGTCACACTAGACTCGATTGTTGCTAACAAAGAGCTGCTGCTTTCTCTACTACTACCCACAGTCGACGATGGCGCAAGCAGTGAAGGTGACACGAACTCTGATCTCTCTGAAGAGAATTTAGCTGTGCTGTACCCTGATGGAAGACTGGACAGATTGGAGGCTACTATTGAAGATGACGATCTCTGGCTTTCTCTGCTCACACTTAAAGTAGGCAAAAATTTTAGCGATGAAGGAGATCCCAACACTGACCTTTCTGATGACACCTCAACTGTCCTTTGCTCCGATGTCTTACTGGATACCACTATGGAGGATAGGAATACACTGATCGCACTGCTCACATCAAAAGTCGACGATTTCACTGCCAAGGATGGCGTTTCCAGCAATGACCTCTCTGAAGACGCCTTCACTATACCCTCATCCGATCCCAAACTGGACACTATTACTGGTGATAATAATCTGCTGCTTTCCTTGCTAATACCATCGGACGACAATACTGCAACCGATGATGGTGACAGCAGGATTAAACTTACAAAAGACTGTCCAGCTGAGCTTTGCTTTGATGCCACACTAGAGACTAAAACTGCTGATGACGATCTCTTGCTCTCTCTGCTAACAACAAAAGTCGACAAGGACGCAACTGACGATGGTGATACTGGCAACGAGCTTTGTAAAGATGATCTCGGTGCGCTTTTTTCTGATGTCACACTGGACTCTACTGTTCCTAACAGGGAGCTGCTGCTTTCTCTGCTACTACCCACAGTGGACGATGGCACAAGCAGTGAAGGTGACACGAACTCTGATCTCTCTGAAGACACTTTGACTGCGCTGTGCACTGACGGCAGACTGAAGACACTGGAAGCCACTGTTGAAGATGACGATCTCTGGCTTTCTCTGCTCACATTGAAAGTAGGCGAAAATACTACCGATGAATGTGATCTCAACACTGATCTTTCTGATGACACCTCAACTGTCCTTTCCTCTGAAGTCTTACTGGATACCACTACGGAGGCTGGGGATACACTGACTGCACTGCTCACATCAAACGTCGACGATATCACTACCGACGATGGTGCTTCCAGCAATGACCTCTCTGAAGACGCCTCCACTGTACTCTCATCCGATGCCAGACTAGACACTATTACTGGTGATAGCAATCTGCTGCTTTCCCTGCTAATACCATCAGTCGACAATACTGCAACCGATGATGGTGACAGCAGGATTAAACTTACAAAAGACTGTCCAGCTGAGCTTTGCTTTGATGCCACACTAGAGACTAAAACTGCTGATGACGATCTCTTGCTCTCTCTGTTAACAACAAAAGTCGACAAGGACGCAACTGAGGATGGTGATCCTGGCAATGAGCTTTCTAAAGATGCTCTCAATGTGCTTTGTTCTGATGTCACACTGGACTTTTTTCTTGCTAACTGGGAGCTGCTACTTTCTCTGGCACTAACCACACTGGATGATGGCACAAGAAATGAAGGTGACACGAACTCTGATCTCTCTGAAGACAGATTCACCGTGCTGTGCCCTGATGGCAGACTGGACAGACTGGAAGCTACTAGTGAAGATGACGATCTCTGCTTCTGTCTGCTCACACCCACAGTAGGCGAAAATGCTAGCGATGAAGGTGATCCCAACACTGACCTTTCTGATGACACCTCGACTGTCCTTTGCTTTGAAGTCTTACTGAATTCCACTATAGAAGATGGGGATACACTGATTGCACTGCTCACATCAAAAGTCGACAATTTCAGGACCGAGGATGGCGCTTCCAGCAATGACCTCTCTGAAGACGCCTTCACTGTACTCTCATCCGATGCCAAACTGGACTCTATTACTGGCGATAACGATCTGCTGCTTTCCCTGCTAATACCATCAGTCGACAATACTGCAACCGATGATGGTGACAGCAGCAATGAACTTGCAAAAGACTGTGCAACTGTGCTGTGCTTGGATGCCACAGTGGAGACTAAAACTGCTGATGACAATCTCTTCCTCTCTGTGCTAAAAACAAAAGTCGACAAGGACGTAACTGACGATGGTGATACCGGCAACGAGCTTTCTAAAGATGCTCTGAGTGTGCTTTGTTCTGATGTCTTACTGTCTATTGTTGCTAACAGGAAGCTGCTGCTTTCTTTTCTATTAACTACAGTGGACAGTGACAAGAGCAATGAAGGTGACACGAATTCTGATCTCTCTGAAGACAGTTTGACTGTGCTGTGCTCTGATGGCAGACTGGACAGACTGGAAGCTACTATTGAAGATGACAATCTCTGCCTTTCTCTGCTCACACTCAAAGTAGGCGAAAATGCTACCGATGAAGGTGATCCCAACACTGACCTTTCTGATGACACATCAACTGTACTTTCCTCCGAAATCTTACTGGATATCACTATGGAGGATGGGGATACACTGATTGCACTATTCACATAAAAAGTTGACGATTTCACTATCGAGGATGGCCCTTCCAGCAATGACTTCTCTGAAGACGTCTTTACTGTATTCTCATCCGATGCCAAACCGGACACTATTACTGGTGATAGCGATCTGCTGCTTTCCCTGCTAATACCATCCGTCGACAATATTGCAGCCGATGATGGTGACAACAGCAATGAACTTGGAAAAGACTGTCCAACTGTGCTTTGCTTTGATGCCACACTGAAGACTAAAACTGCTGATGAAGATCTCTTGCTCTCTCTGCTAACAAAAAAAGTCGACAAGGACGCAACTGACAATGGGGATACTGGCAACGAGCTTTCTAAAGATGCTCTCACTGTGCTTTCTACTGATGTCACACTGGACTCTCTTGTTGCTAACAGGGAGCTGCTGCTTACTGTGATACTACCCATGGTGGACGATGGCACAAGCAGTGAGGGTGACACGAACTCTGATCTCTCTGAAGACAGTTTCACTGTGCTGTGCCCTGATGGCAGACTGGACAGACTGGAA